GAGGGGGCTCTACAGGTAATTCTTCATTGTCAGATTCGGGCCTACCGGGTGAAGAAATCACGACCGTACGTTGCCCAGTGTTCTTTGACTACCTCCGCCACCTGGAAGCTTTTGCCCTGTCGCTGTCTATCGGCGAGGATTGAGAGCCAAGAAAGCAGAGCCCAGATACCGTCCTTCTCACGAATGTGGTTTGAACCCGTTCCGAAGCTTTCTTCACCACAGACCGAGGCCATGTCTGCGTCCAGGAGGTTGCCAAAGAACTTCCAGCCCGTAGGAGTTTCGAAAACGGGCAGATTTTTGGCTTTGCACACGCTAAAATGAGAAATGCGGGGAGCATAAGAGTCACGTGGTAAAAAAAGCACTGATAAAACATTGATGCGATAATGACGGCGGCAGGGAGGCACAGAATGCATCGAAAAGATGACTGTTTTTTTTCCCGGTCATCAACAGCATAAAGGCAAGTTGGTACGTAAAGCAAAAATAAAGGCGAGTAGTTGGTATTAGAATGACCCCCAAAAGGCGAAAAAATGAATGTGAACTGCTAATTCCTCTGGCAGGCAGTACTAGTTAACGCCCACAGAGAGATCAATATTACCCATCAAAAGTGAATAAAAAGGAAATAAATGGCTTTTCGGGACGGGTTGTCGAAGGTCTCAGCTGTAGGCTGAAACGTACAATGGAATTTGGCATATAACTCGGTTGAAACTGCCCAAGCAGATTGTCAACTAGGAAGATTTTTATGGCGTGACAATAGCAATATGAGGAACATATTCTGATGAAGAGGATGTTAACACCCAAAACAGATCTACTGATCATAGTCAAGCTCGAATTTTATTAATCATAGCCAGGACTGCACTAGGCTGGCATTAGTAGCGGTACCGAAAGTCATTAAATACGGTGCTTACAGCCTCGACTACTTGGATTTTGAGAATAACATTGCATTTGATCGCGCGTCGACAAGTCTGCTGTCGACTACACAGGAGGTAGTTTCCAGGTCTGACAAACATATCTCTTAATGCAAAGAGTGAGGACAAGACAAAGGTCGGCCGTGTCAGAGATTGAGATCACACAAGTGTGCTGCGCTTGGCGTGAACTATAGTGGTGCACGGCGCAAAGAACAATGCGTCCGACTACGGATTACGGTTTCGTTTGTGTGCCACGTGGACACAACAGGAAGATATATGCTCAGTGCCTAGATCAGGCGAGTAAACCCGCGGCAAAACGCTCTTAATCTGCTATATTCAGGCACGTATGTGTTAACGCTTTGGTAGCAGATACGCACAACAGGTTGTCTTGTTTAATTTCCTCGGAAATTAATGCACGAAATTGGAGTAAATCATTCGGAACAGACCTAGCTTGTACCTGTCCTGTCGCTGTGATAAACAATTACGCAGTGCACACATAAGAAAATCCCCAAAGACGGACATCACAAAAGTGTGCAATAACGGTGAACCAAAGCCCTCACAGAAGTCTAAGAGCCAGCCCGTCTCGTTTACGTATTTGTCCCTTTCAACAAGTGAATTATTTACCGAATACTTAGAAGTTCGTGCTTATTATACACAAACCTCACCCAAACGTTCGGTCCGCGGAAATTATGCATGGACAAAAGTTATTAGAAGGGAACGAGAAAGCAAAGATTCAATTAAACCATTAAACGTATGATGAGTGCAAAATCTGCCTACCGATCTACAGCCGGAGAGGTAGGCATACTACGAGCAAATCCACGGACGCCCTTCTCCTGGAAGTACTTGATGCACTGAGCATTATCTGCAATGACTGCCAGCGAATCACAGGGTGTGACAAAGAAGGCGCCCTGACCGATGATCATGTTGCGGTCGCCATCGCCATCGAAGGCGGCAGCTAGACCAACAGTAGGGTCCTTGCGCGCGACGTCAACCAAGTCGGCAGCATAAGTTAAGTTGGGATCCGGATGGTGACCGCCAAAGTCCTCCAATGGATTACAGTTTCGGGTGGCGGTCTCAGGCATTCCAAAGATCTCACAAATGATTCGTTTCAGATAGGGGCCAGTGACTGTTAAGAAAACGGGGAATTCAAAATTAAACAGGCTGAAACTACCACGCAAGGGGAATGGTCATT